AACTGAGTGTGGTAAAAGCTCACAGGGCTGCTGTGAGTCTGATTGTATGTGAAAATGCCCAATTCAGTGCCTGGCACAGTGTTGGTGCAGGAAAAAGATAGACTTCCTCCCTCCCTTCCTTCCTTCCTTCTTCCTCCCTTTGTTATTAATGGGAGAATGTTAGTCTGACTCCCCAACTGGTGCTGCATTGAAACCTTTTCTGTGAACTTTTCTGTGGTACCCAAAACAGCTGTTAAACAGAGAACTGTTTTCTACCAGTCTTTCTTAGTTTTAATCCCAAAGCTCAAGACCTCCTGGCTTTGAGGGAAGTATGAGTGGCAAGGAGACTTCTAGTAGCAGGTCTGTAGTTGCTTTTCCAGCTGGACCCAATCCAAATGCCACTCCAAATGCCACAGCTAAGAGCTAACTGTGTATAATGTGGTAAGAAGCCACCCCAGCTTCCCTGTACAAAGAAGCAACAAACACATCCACTCATTATCTTTAAGGGGCATAATGAATCAGACTGAGATTTAGTCATATTTGCACAGTGCTTTATCTTTGCAATGCTGAGAGCTGAAACCAAGGCTCTATAGTAGTTAAAGTTCTGTTCAAGTCTGGCCAGCATGGCTCAATGGTTGAGCATCAACCTACCATCCAGGAGATCTCAGTCCGATTCCCGGTCAGGGCACATGCAGGGGTTGTGGATTCGATCCCCAGCAGATGGTGTGCAAGAGGCAGCCAATCAATGACTCTCATCATTGATGTTTCTTTCTCTTTCTCTGCCTTTCCCTTCCTCTCTCTGAAATCAATAAAGACATATTTTTTTAAAAAAAGTTATATTCAAGCTCAAAGACATCGTGCAACTCTAAGCCAGTTCCTGCCACCCTGACCCCAGTCATTGAGTTTATCGGGATTCTCAGTTGGAAGAGTCAAGAAATAGTCTCCTCTCCTACAGTTAACCTTAGAATGTTACCTTTTCCTGGGAGCTAATACCCCTACCCCTCTCCTGCAGATCTCAGTTATGGAGAAAATGAAAATAAAAACGGTCAGGTTTTCCTGGCTTATGAATTTGAATGCCACCTGAACCTGACATGATGTTAGTTTTTTGGTTCCAAATTGCACAGTTTTTCAAAATCAAGGAGTTCTATAAACCCTATTCCAAAATTATGCAATGTTTCTATACTTAGGAATTTGTTTTGGGGGGAAATAGAGACCTAACTTAATCTTATCAGTCCTTGAGGAGGCACATTGAGGGACCTTACTACTTCCTGAAGGAGAAGCCTTGAAGTTGTACAATGTAATTGTTACCTCAACTCTGATTCAGAGTTGTACATTTATGCCTTACACATGAGGAAGCAAGAGGCTAAAGTTCTGGTCATATTACTCTTCCTTCATTTAAAAAAGATTAGCAAGTTCCTGCAGGTTTACAGACACTCTGAGATCCAGCTCACGTCTGTCATCCTGCTCACCCTGTTCAGCAAGGCAGGCCACAAAGCAAGCTGGGGAGGCAGATGTGCTATATGTCTGGTTACTTAACAGATATATTAATTTTTCAACAAACTGTTATTAATACATAGTGTGTGCTGGGCACAAAACACAGTAGGAATAAAAGATGAATAATACAATTTCTGGCCTCTTGTTGATAGAAGGCTGCTACTAGTTTATAGTCAAAGACTCTACTCCATACACAGCGAACTGGTTTATATCCCAATGAATTCACCATAACTCTACCAGCACTAAACTTTGAGGCTTTAAAGTTTCCAGGTATAGAAAAAATATATAGGAAAAAGGGGTAAGATCAAGCAAGAGAAGTAACAAAATAACCACAGAAGCTGACCCTGAAGAAAACTCACCTCTATAATGGAATACTTGAAATGACCTTTAGTTTAAAACTTGTATTTGCTCCTTTAAAGCAGTTTCCCTTAATTCTAGCTATCTCTGCAAAATGGATGATTGATCACTAATGGAAACTTAATTACCAATTAATTGGTTACTATTGAATTGCTGGTACATCTCAGTTGTCTGCTGCTCCTTAGAGTAATCTATAGTACTTTAGTGAAGAAAAGCTTCTAATTAAATAGTGAAATAGCATTCATTAATGTATCAAAATAAATGTCTAGAACTAAAACACTTCATTAATTATGAGTCAGTAGGTTTAGCATCTCAGAGACTCTATGTTTGCTAATTTATCACCATTTAAGATGAAGACATAGTTGTTGCTTATATAAAACAGCATTGTAGGTGATTTTTAAACAGTAAAGTCAGGATGTAAGAATTCCACATTCCATGTGACAAGTTAAGGAGTAAGGTTATTTTATATAAAAACAACTAAATTTTTTTATTTCAATTTGTTCTTAAACACTAAGTTGGTTTGAAATATACTATGACAATTTTCTGATTATTATAAATATAACAGGATAATAATAGAATTTTCCAGGATTTGTAACTATATTCAAAGATGTGTAAGAATGAATTTTTTTTCTCTTTTTCTTCCAAGTTAACCTTCATTTTTCTTAATACAGCCTCTTGCTCCCTGTTATCTGTCCCAGATTTACCAATTCAAAATTATCTTGTCAGGATAGTTAGGAGTCAGACACTCTATTTGTCCCTTATAAACTCTTAACTGCCTTTTTTTCCTAAAAAATAAATAGCTTTAATAATATTGGTTCATAGCTCCATACTCATTCCCCGTCTACCCATAAATGACTCAGTTACTTGTTCACTCAATTAATATTTACTAAAGATTTACTATGTGTAATAGTTCATCTACTATAAGCAATTATAATGGTAAACAAACAGGGTCTGTGATCCCAGAGAGCCACCTAGAGAAGTCTCACATCAATCATATAACCAAAATAGAAGAATTTGACCTATATTGGGGTCAGGGAAGGCCTCCTGAGTAAATGATGACAAGCTGAGATCTGAAGGAGGCATAGCAGTTAACAAAGTGAATAGAGATGGAAGGAGCACTTTTGGCAGAGGGAACAGCATGTGCAAAGACCCTGTAATAGGAGGACACATAGCATATTTGGAAAACTGAAAGGCCAGCTCACTGGAGCAGAGAGAGCAAGGGATAGCACGTTGTAGGGTAAATCTGGAGAAGTTGAGTAGGATTCAGATGATGCAGGGCCCAAAAGTTCATGTTAAAAATTTTGTCCTTTATCTTAAGAGGAATGGGGAGACATATTAAGTGTTTTAAACAGAGTTATATGATAAGACTTATGTTTTAAGAAGAAAATCTGGCTACAGTGTAGAGACTGGATCTGGAAAGAGATTGGATAAGGCTGGGTCTTGTGGGTCTGGTTAGGAAGCCATTGCAGTAGTCTAGGAAAGTGAGGGAGGGATGGCTTGGATGAAGGTGGTTGTGGTGGAGATAGAGAAAACTGGATGGATCCAGGAGATATTTAGAAAGTGCAGATGATGGGAATTGGTAATGAACTGTATATGGGGAAGAATTGGGAATGACACTTAGGTTCCTGACTTGTGTACCTGGAGGAATGGTGGAGCCATTCACTGGGGTGCATTGCATCATAAGATTAAGCATGGGAAAAATTGTGTTTTCTATACTAGCCATGTTTAGCTTACGTCTTTGAGATATCTGAGTGCAGATTTCAGTCTGTGTGATATATGCACAGTCAGCTCAGAGTAGAGGGGTAACCTGGAGGTACACAGGTATCAACTAAATAGTAATATCACAGGAGAGGCTGAGACCGCCTGGGGGAAAGTATGAAAAGTGAGTGGAGAAGCAGCCCTAGGATGGAGCCTTGAGAAACCCTAACATTGATAGCCAGGCATGGACCCTGCAAAGGAGGCATAAATATTGCAGCCTGAAAAGTAGGAGGAAAACTGAGAGAGTGAAATGTTAAAGAGAAGGGAGCTTATTTGTCCTATATTACTGAACAATATTTTTTTAAATCCTCCATTTGAGGTTTAAGCTAAAGGATAAATACCTGATTGAGTGGTAATTGCCTTTTAGTAAGCTGGTTACTGAGGCATTTGATGTACAACATTTACATTTTTTGAGCCTTTCACCGTAATGATGACAAATATATAAGTGGTGTTTTCTGCATGCTAGGTTCTACTGAAAGAGATTTTTACAAACTAGCTCATTTAATCTTTACAACAGTTCTCTAACGTTGGCACATTTCTATAATTCTCTCAATTTTACAGTTGGGGGGAACTGGAACAGATAACATGAATTTCAGGATCAGAGATTATAGGGACTACATAAAGTAAGTAAGCATTAAGGACCAGGTTTGATGCAGGCACTTGGGTCTGGTTCTATGCTGTGCTGCTTCCCCATGAATTATCTTTCAATCACCACTTTGCGCCACCTTGCTGCACACAGATGCACAAAGACACCCATTTTAAAATACAATGTCCAGCTCTGGCCTGATGGTTCAGTTGGTTAGGGCATCATCCTGTACACCAAAAAGGCTGCAGGTTCAATTCCTGTTCTGTACAGGAGGCCACCAATCAATGTTTCTCACATAAAAGTCTCTCTCCCTTCTTTTCTCTTTCCCTCCCTCCCACCTTTCCCTACCCCTGTCTTTCTCTTTCTAAAATCAATAAACATATCCTCGGGTAAGAATTAAAAGAAAAAAATTAATTAAATTCAATATAATGTCTAAGTATGACTAACATTTATTACTATTTCAGTTGAAATCATCTCATTGGAATTGCCTGCTAGAAGCATTACCTTTATGTCAAGGACTGAGCCATTTACAGTTTTATTTTTCTTTAAATACACCAGCCAAGTTTCATCTTTATGCACATACTGAACCATGGTACAAACTATGATAGTAAAGTTTGCCCCCAGGTCAGAGTCTATACATATACCATAGCACCTCACCATACTGGAGCCGTTCAGGTAACTAGAAGTATCTCTGCCTGTTCTGGGCCTATTTGCACAGTTCTCTTTGCCATTACCCTCCAAGCTCTGAAATGATACACTAAAAAGTTTCTTAACAGCTTACTTGCATCTGGACCCACATTAATTCTATCACCATATTTTATTCCAGACACTTCTGAGAAATTCACCAGGCTGTAAAGGGCACAGTGATGAATATCGAACGGAGTTTACCACAGCTTTACAACGCATTGACTTATTCATGGGCCAATTCAACCAAGTCCTCTTAACGTCTATATCCACCTTCATTAAAGGAGACCTCACCATTGCTAATCTGGGGACCTCAGAGGGTCGCTTTATGCAGGTAAATGCTTTCTGAGAGTAACTGTGTCTGTTTTATCTGGTATTAGGCAATTAATTTGTTTTTGTTTTTGAAGTAAGATAGTTGCAAATATTGTTAAATGAATATCATAATGGAAACTAGAGACACAGACTGACAACAAAACAATAAAGGCTAGTCCACTTTTTATGAAGTGTATGGCCTATTTTTGTTAAATTGTTGACGCTTCCGGTTTAAATGTGGTTGCTTTGAATTTCTTTGCCCAGAATGGTTTGGATATTTTTTTATTTTCCATTCATGATTTCTGTCACATGATTGGAAAATAAAATGAAACAATTAAAGTACTTCCAGGCTATGTTTTCCTCTTTCAAAGGAAGCTACGGATCAAAGAAGAGCTATTATGTGTACCCTGCGTCTCCATGAGAAGAAACATTCACATCATTGAGAAATATTGGCAGCAGTTAGGAAGGGATGTTATCATCAAAATCCCATTGTAACTTTGACTCTCCTAATTTCTGAAAAATGATGGGGTCAAACACAAAGAAGTTTAAATACTGGGGGGAAAACCTGGGTTTTTTTAAGAAATACTTTTAATGGATAGCAACAGTATTTCCATACAATAAAAGTACACATTTCAGAAGTTGTATTTCCTAGATACAAGAATCATAGTGCTTTGCAGAAATTAAAATGCTCTTGTGTGTGCTGTTTTACTGCTTTAATAGTTTTTGCATAGTGCTTTCAATATGAGTTCTTTATTAGATTCTTAATGAATGCATCTATGGCATCTATGGCAATGCTGAATTTCTGTTTCTCTTAAAGAGAGATGCTTATTTCATAATCATCTGATATAATTAAGATCCTACTCAGATAATGATGTATAGTAAACCAATTGAGTTTCCTATGACTTGCCCATCTGTACATCCTCTATCCTGTATTCTTTTACAAAACATATTTTTAGAAATTACCACTGTCTTTATAACAGTCTGGATATTGGTCATTGCCATATCTTAAATCATGTTTTTCTTGTACTAGTGGGCACAATTGAATTTTTAAAAGTCGTAAAATATGTAAATAAACCCTTCCTAGCTCAAAGCGAATCATATAGATCCTGTTATCTAAATATTCCCACACTTAGTCTCCCCTCCTCCCATTGCTTCATAATTAACTACACTGTTCCTTCCCTCTTCCCTCTCTCCCTGCCTAGTGTTTTTATTTACCCACCTCAAACCGTTTAATTCTGTCCTCAATTCCTCAAAATCTGAAGGAGGAATGCCCAGTCCTATCCCACACAGATAAGCACCCTAAGGTACTTGAAATATGGCCGTATCGATTATCCTTGTAAAATGTGTGGTATTATGTTGTTTGTTTGTCTGTTTTTAGTTTACATTGATGTTATTCTATAGAATTCCAAGAAATTTGGAAGAGGATGAAAGAAGCTAACATTTACTGAACTCCTAATGTGTTCACTATGTTCATTTGCTTCCCTTTTTATTTTTCCTTTCTGTTTTTCTAAACTGTCTATTTCCTCACCAATCCAGTTTCATATTAACAAGCTTTCCACAGACACTTTAGATCTGACACATTTTTACCTCAAAAGGTTCCTGGACTACTTCCAGATTCTAAAGATCTAATAAAATCCCATTTTTAGATAGGTTGCTTTAATAACTGAGTAAATTCTGCTGTGTGACAGATTTCACCACCCAAGTGATATGTCATGCATCATCAGGATCATTATAACAGAAATGCTGTGGCAAATGTTTTATTCTTATCTCCCAGCATTTTCACAAAAGAAGCTATATTATGCCCATTACCTATGCATACCAAAACACATTGAAGATAAAAATAAGCAAACAAGTAAAAACTTATTTATGAAAAGTACTGATATCACTGATTTAAAAAACACACAGATGGCTCTTAATACATAAATATGTATTGGGAACTTACTAATTTTGCTTTACTAGCCAAATAAGCAAAGCAAAGAAAGCAGTGGCACTGAACCCTAGCTAAAATTTTGATAGGGGAGTTAAAAACATGTACCTGATACCAAGACTACAGACAAAGCCGTAAGACAAAGAACTATTGACACCCACAGAGGATCTATTTCTCTAACATTCGCCTAAGAGGATTTCATTTCATTAAATTTTATGTAAATAAACCTAAAACATTAGAAGGATCAATCAGTACCACTGAACTCCAGTTTGTTTACAGAAAATAAACAAAATGTTAGGATAGGAGTCAGTACTGCAACAAAGACAAGAGAACACTCTAACTTAATCTAGCTGAACAGTAACTATCTACCAAGTTCTGTAAATGTTTTGACTGCACTAATATACTAACTGTGGCCAGGCCTAAGTTTCTATAGCTTGTGTTTTAATAATCTATGGAGTCTCTGTTAAAAAACAGAATGGACATACTTTTTTTCCAAAAGCAGCTGCCATGCATAAAAAGGAACAGAAAAATGATTTTACTTCCTTCCTACCCTAAAGCTTAACGGCAAACTTGCTTTACAAATGTTTTCTTCCAAGAGTTTGCAGCTGTTTCTGCCTTTCCTATTGTGCTTATGTTCAGCCCTGGCTGGGAATACAAGCTACAGCCCCAGCTGTTGAGTGCAAAGTGAATCAGGTATTTCACAGTGGTTATTTAATTAGAAAGAATTATACTGTTTGGCTAACAATATTATATGTCTGGCATATAATATTGAGAAGACATTTTTGACATGTTTCTAACATTTAAACATGTAATTTATTTCATACAGGTGCAACTAAGTCTAAATATACTGATGTGTACATATATTTGAGTCTATCTACATGTCAGTATAGATATAGATTTCAAAAACAGTTTTTATTTGTGTAATTACCCTCTTGGGGTACTATGAAGTAAAATAATATAAGCAATATTCAAGATAGTATAAAATAAACAATGAGTACATGCCTTCCTACAAAATTTGGAGGAGGAAGAGATTTAGAAAAGAACAAGACTCAGGAACATTAGCACAGTGTGCACTACTTTGTGGGAGAGGAAAGAGGGATACTCATGAAAATCACAGGACTAATCACAGGGATTGCTCACGTCTCCCTTCTGAGCTCCTCATCTAATCCACATCCCAAAACAATGCTTGCTTTTTTTTTTTTTTTACAGCACTTGTATAAGGCCTTTAATCTCTAGATGCAAGGCATTGCTATTAAAATATTTGTGCATGACTTTCAGGCCAGGGAGAGTAAGTGGCTCAGGAATGGGTTGTGGGTAGGGATTCACTTTCAAGACTTGGTTCAAGTTCAACTCCACCAACAATCACAGGGCAGCTACCTTTTCTCCACACAGTTGCCACTGCCTGAGCACTATCACAGCTGTCAAGAGGCCCTTTGGCTTTCTTCTTGCTTATCTCCAATCCCCTTTTTTCCTCTCCCCAATTCTTTAATGCTCTTAGCACACATCACCCCTTTTCTCTTATGCTTCTTAACTGGACTAGTTGGATCTTAAGCAGGAAGCTTGGAGGTAGGGATCACCTAAAAAGACATGCTTAGTGATTTTCAAAATTGGAGGCAAATTGAGTGGAAGCTGCACTGACACTCTCCCAGGACCAAACTGGAATCACAACTAAAATATAGAAAAAACCATCCTGAATAATTAACTCCAGCTGAAGACTAGCTGGAGAGCACCCACATAACCAAGGACTAAAAGCAGAGACAGCATAGAGACTGCAGCTTTTGCCTGGGAAGGTAGCCATTGCCCCACCCATTGGAAAACCTCTTACCCCACCCTATGGAGTTTCTGCACCATGAGGCTCCGTAAGAGACTGAATAACAGCCTCTGGGTACTTTGAGTCTTTGCCTGTTTGGCTTCGGGACCCAGGCCTTGGAAAAGCAAACCATGGTACACATCTTGGTCCTGTTCCAAACACACCCAGCCCCAACAGAGGGAACCACAAGCCATGGAGTGTGGAAAACTTCAAACAGGGTACTCAAGGCCAGTCACAAGCAGTGTCTGACATTGTCCTGCACCAGAGACCATACAAAAGACTGGGAGTCCTACAAAATCTACCTGATACACGGAAACAAATCCAAGCAGGCAACCAAAATGGGGAGACAAAAAAAACCATTTTTTTGATGAAAGAACAAAAGAGTTCTCCAGAAGAAGAGCTAAACGAAATGGAGATGAGCAATCTATCAGATATAGAGTTCAGAATACTGATCATAAGGATGCTCAACAGCATTAGAAAAGAAATGGAAACTATGAGGGAAATTAAGAATGACATAGTAGAAATTAAAAACACACACACATTGGAAACAATAAACAGCAGATTAGAAGAAGCTGAGGATCAGATTAGTGAATTAGAAGATGGTAGAAAAAATAACTCAGGGAACCAAAAAGAAAAAAATAATTAAAAAACAGGAGGACAGTTTAAGGGAGCTGTGGGACAATATGAAATGTAACAATATTTACATCATAGGAGTGCCAGAAGAGGTCAAAAGTAAGCAAGGATTAGAGAATCTGTTTGAAGAAATAATGGCAGAAAACTTCCCTGACCTGGTCAAGGAAAAAGTCACACAAGTTCAGGAGGCACAGAGAGTCCCAAGCAAGGAGAACCCAAAGAGGCCCACTACCAGACACATCATAATTAAAATGCCATAAACTGAAGACAAAGGGAGAACCTTAAAGGCAGCAAAAGAAAAACAATCTGTTACCTACAAAGAAGCTCCCATAAGGCTGACAGCTGATTTCTCATCAGAAACTCTATAGTCCAGAAGGGAATGGCAAAAAGTATTCAAGGTAATGCAAAACAAGGATCTGAAACCAGCACTACTCTATCCAACAAAGCTATCATTCAAAATAGATAGTGCTAAAGGAATTTATCACCACCAAAGCAGCATTGCAAGAAATGTTAAAGAGACTGCTGTAATAAGAAGTTGAAATAGAGAGAATGAGAAACATAGACATAAAGAAATAAAATGGCAATAGATAAGTACCTATCAATAATAACCTTAAATATAAATGGATTAAATGTTCCAATCAAAAGACACAGG